AGGGGATTCTCCCTATTTATAGTACTCGTCTATGGGTAGTTTTAGGGTTCTAGAAACTTCAACATCTCTAGAAGTTTCTAATCTCCATACACTTCCATCATCTTCTATAACCTTCCATAAGGTTCTAGAAGGCTTCACACTTCTCTAGAATATTCCGGAGGCTTCCACAATCTTCCATAAGCTTCTAGAGAGTTCTACACATTTCTAGAGTTCTTCGGACCGTTCTAGAAAATTCTTGACTTCTCTAGAGAGCTCTGGAAGTTTCTAGAATCTCTCCAATTAAGGAAGGAACCCAACATCTACCAATATTTCAGATGGCATTATTTACGCATTAAAACATGCAACTCAACTTACCAAAGATTGTAATGACTTCAAATCAAAGGATAGTTATACAAATGATCGCATGAGAATAATATTAAAACATTATCATAATACCCATATATTATTCTCATCATAGCGGGTCAATCCATCAACATATGCAATATGCTTGCCTACATATAGATTCAGATAACGCTTTATCAATAGCCTATAAGGCGCAACTATCTCATCTTATACGTATTAGTGTTAATATATTATAATGTTTGTATTATCATAATATTTGACTAAGGATATTTTAGATGTAGCCTCTATCTTTGTAACAACCTCATAATTAGAACATCGTAATTCTCATCTATGTTACTAGAGTGCCTACTCTATGGACTAAAGCTTTGTTTAAATCACACGATATGACTTAACAATCTATATGGCTTATTGTTCTTGATATAATACAGATATGAAATCATAAGTTGGCCGGTAAGGCTCAGTTATATTCAATAATATCTCCTTGCAATTAGACCTGTTTAAAGTTCGGGTAGATAGCAATAATAATTAGTTATGCCGGCATATCTGTTTGAAATGATGACGACTTTCAATTTATGAATAACCCTCTACACTAACAATCGCATAAACTAGGACCAACTTTCAGTGGTTTCTCCATCAACCACAGCGTATGCAATGGGGAACAACTCGTGAATTCTGTCAAGGGCAACGGCTAGTAGTAAATGTCAATTATACTTTCTATAGAAATGGGTGCCATCTATCGTGACCATAGATAAACAATGATGTAGACTCGAAATAATTGTTTCAAATACCCAAAATGCATATTTGAAACGTGGAGCATGATAAGTCTGTGATTTGAGTACATTCGATTATCTTTTAATAGACTTTAGCTTAGATTTTAAAATTAATTAGGACTTATTGTGAATATTCATCTAAAATGTGATTTTGGATTGATATGTGTTAATTGGTTAAGACCAAATTCAAGACAATGATGGATTTGCAAGACAACTTAAAGAATTGGGGCCAATCTCTGATTATGAAAACTTGTATTCTAATAATTAAATTTGAAGAGTGATCCGTTTTCCTCAGGAGCGACGAAATCGAAAAGCAAAGACTCGACCCGACCCAGCCGCAATCCCCCGACTCCAGCAGCGACGACAAGTTCCCAGGGAGGCGAGCGACCACCAAGGGATGCCCAAATCTAGCGAGCAGTGGCGGGGCAACCTTCCTCTATTCCAGCGACACTCGCACCAGACCGCGGACAAACTCCGATCCCATTAGCACAGCTTGAACTGGCAAGGATACGACGACGCTGATGCTGCTCCTTATTTCCGGCGACCATCTCCCTCCTTCCGGTGACTAATTCAGAAGATTAGACCAGGCTCGGCATTGATACGGATGATGAAATGCATCAGCTTTCCAAATAGGTGTGACATGACAATTATACCCATGGTCTCTTCCTTATTTTAATTTTCAGCTTGTGTCCCTTTTGGTCTTTTCCCACTTCTTTCTACTTTATTTATACTCCCCTAGCTCCAAATTAGTAATGCTAGTCACAAACAAACAGTTCATAAAATTCACAAACTTGTCTTTTTAACACTTTCCTAGAAATAAGATGCACTCAAATAATAAAAGGTATTTTATTTTAAAAACCACAGAAGGCAAGTTTGTGATTCTAGCATTTTCCAGCTCCAAATAAGCTCCACGTACGCTGCTTGTCAATTTTGATCGCAGGGAAACCATACTCGTCGCCCATAGCGTAGGGGAATTGCCATAAACAGATGAAATTTGTTGGTATCCAACTTTGCTAAAAAAACTTGGATTTCATCTCTTATGGTACCCCAACATAAGATTTCGTCAATAACGAGTATTTTTTACTTCAACTGTGTTTGAAATTACATTTCCTGTTTGAAATTTGAATAACATCTCCCCCCCCCCCACCCAAATACACATGCATTGCTCCATGATATAGCAAAGTAAATTAAAATGCCATTGGGAAGAAGAGAAAATAATAGTCAAAGAGGAGAGGAGTAATAGAGGATGTGATCAACACAAATAAATAGCTTAACACTAACGAATCTTCTGAAAAATGTCATCTCTCAGGGCAAAAACCAAAAACAAGAATGTCCTGTAGCATAGCAAAAATAAATAATGAAAAAATAACTTATTAAAAACACCGTGTCGAACGGAAAAATGAAAACAAAACAAAATAAATTTTTAAAAGACGTCGTGTTGCATGGCAAAACAAAAAAAATTAAAAATACGTTTCGTCGTGTGTTAGGGCGTATTTCCTTCTAAGGAAATACGTTTTCTACCTTTTCCCTCAGAGGGAATTGATTCGTAGTGAAGTTGAGTCTGGATAGATTTTATAGGGTGGAGGGTTGATTTACCGATAGAGAAGAAAAGGAAAAAAAAATATCGTGTCACACGACAAAAAAATTAAAAATTAAAACGGCTTGCTGCACGGGAATAGTTGGGTGGAAGAAATTAATATGGTGCAGAGGAAATTACTCCTCTGTCCCTTCCTTCTACGAGAAAGGACCCGGGTTTTGGTGTGGGATTAAAAAAAAAGTGTTAAAATCCGCGGGAAACCACCCAATTGAGGTAGTTGAAGAGTCAAAAATCGGCTTTTGTAAAACCGAAATTCAAAACAAAAAAAAAGAAAAGAAAGGCAATGTGATCCAAGCGTGTTAGATCGGTCAGCTCAAATCAGCTTTGCAAAAGACGAAACTAATTAATTTTTTTCAAAAAAAAGAAAAAGATAAGTCATTTCGGCTTTCTAAAGCCTCCCTTTCCTTTTAGGAGATGGGTTTCCTGTTTTTTTACCTCCGCGGGAAACCACCCAATGGATGGTGTTAGGCCTGAGCTAGAACAGAAACAGAGCGTGGAGTTGTGCAAAGGAAACAGTGGAGATTATTGCACTTGCATATTTTTTTATCGAAATGGAGAGGTAACAACCACAGAACCTCAAGAAAGGTTCCTTACTGTCACGCGCTTAGGCCAATAGTACCCTAGCTTATCCTCTAGCAATTGACGTGCACCATTCGGTGGGAACTCTAACTCTTTCCAAATCAACGCTCTGTCTTTTCCCATTCTAGCAAGTAAGTCTGCGACTTTGTTCTGACCCCTTAGAATATGACAGATGGTAACATTCCAATCTCTTCCCATCCAACTCTGACATGCCTCAATCACTTTGCGTGTCGGACCTCTTGTAGTGTGTCTACCATGAATCCATTCAACACACTCTAAAGAATCACATTGGACAATCAGCTTTCGCAAATCTTTCTTCCATGCCCACCTTAGCCCCTGCAGCACAGCCCACGCTTCGGCAACTATTGGATGATTAGTATTGCATGAACACATAAAGCCTCCTATCCAGTTTCCATCATGTCCTCGAAGCACTCCTCCACCCTGTACCATCAACACTCCCATCCACATTCAAACAGAAAGTGTCATTGTCTGGTTTCCGCCAACGAACTTGTATCATGCATTCTTCCTCTTGTGAGTTGTCAATAATACTCTGAATATGAAAAGCTCTCAAGATATCATCTTTTTGGTTAAAAATCAATGTGAGTTTTTCCTCAACATCATACTCCATGTCCTTAAAAACATAATCGTTCCGCCACCTCCAGGCCCCCCAACATGTGATAGCAAAGATCACTGGCCACTCATGAGCATAGGGGGTTCTAACTTTCCCTGCAACTTGATCATCCATCCATTGTCTAAAGTTATGATTCGAAAGCCCCTGCACTATGCTTGATTGCACTTGCATATTTTCCTCTCTCATATTCGCTACTCTACTGCGGAGCAACTTTTCTCTACTAGTACATAGATTTGAGTAGAATATCTAACGTAAACCCTTTTTTTGATGAGCAAGCAGATAGAAATAGATTCTTAATTTTGATAACCGAACTGAATAAGAGCCCTAAAAGTAATAACAGAAAGTGACAATTCTTCAACGTATTGCAAATTTTAGTGTTTTCCCAATGACAACATCCAGATAGATAGCATAGCTGGTAAATAACGGAGTAACATTATACTCTTTCAAATTGGTAGTACAATAAACAAAAACAAAAAAGAAAAAAGAAACATGGCAACTCTCGAGTCCTCTAACCACTTGAACCTTGAAGTGTCTGCAAAAGATGCTCTATTCGGTATTTCATGACAGGTTGACCTGACTTGGTTTTCTTGAACATTTTCTGTCTTTCTTGTTTCCGCCGCACTTCAGCCCTCTCTCTTTCTTCCTTCTTAGCCTGAATAATGGCCTCTCTTTCTATCCTCTTCTTTTCTTCCTCTTCGTGCCTTTTCTCATACAGTTCTTTTATACTGCGGGGCTTATTTCTTTTGCTTTTATCATTCTTTTGATCCGGAATATCAGCTTCTACAGTTTCGTTCAGTTCCTGAATGGCAGTACAGGTATATAACATCAACTTCTTGTTTCAGGGAAGAATAGTACATTTGAACAGTTAAGAAGAGGCAACCAAATACACTCACTACCCATTATATAACATTAATAGCAAACCATGCATGTGGATTGACTCATTGAGAGCTTGCACTGAACTGTGGTTTATCCCTATTTCCCTAGTCGTAAATCCAATCAATGTGCATACATCTGCAAGATATTGGTAGTCCAATCATTCCACATTGACATATCTCGTCTATATCTCCATCCTTCAGAATACTCTTAGGAGATTGTTAAAAGAATATTTGTGGCTTCACACTCCAAATCAACTACTGAGTATCATACATACCTACATACATATAGGGGTCGGGTAGAAGGAGAAGTCGGGTGGGGGGCAGGGTGGGGGATTTAGGGTGGGGGGGATTACAGGGGTAGGAACCATCATTTTTATCAACAGAGTACCGTAGGTACCCCAAACGAAGTGGTGTAAGCGAACGAGCTTCCTCCGCCTCAAAGATGTCTAGATTTTGTTTAAAATTTTGCATTTGAGTTGAGTGACTTGAGTCAGGCCGCACATTACTACACCCTCTGGTCACACAGCTCTTGTAAAACAAACCTACCATCTCTCACATCTCCTCAAAACATCTCTCACTCCTAAACTCCCAGCGGTGTGGCATCAAGGTCAAACCGTAACAACTCAAATAATCCTCCAAGGCTTCCCCCTTGAAAAGCATGGCAAATCATTAAGCAAAAACTGCAAAATCTTTCAATTAACATACCTCTGATATTCTTTTAGAAACAGAAGGCTCGCTGGGCTCATCATGTGCTTTCACCAGTCTCTTATATTTCTTCACAAATTTAGCATTCTTATAAAACTCCTTTTGCTTCTCTGCAGGTGTAACAAAAAATAACAATCATTAGGAAGTAAGATAATTTAAGTAGTCACATTGAAATTATTAACGACAAAAAGAGAATGTTAAAATCTAATATGCCAAAACAATACAATATTTCAAATCCATGCAAAATCCATTTTGTTAACAAGAACCAGAGATTGAAATAACCATTGAAGACGCAGATAATAGTAATAATATGCAGTAAATGAAAGTTCACGAGCTTTCAGAAGTATTGGATTTTGGCTGTTTCTTGTTTGAATCGTGACATCCAGGACAGTCAATGAACAACTTAATATAGCACAATCTAATTTTAACCTGACACAATATTACATTTCCAAATTCCAAGGTTTACTTTTGTAGCATTAAGACTTGCTTTATACATATCTATCAGCCAAACTACTCAGTACAATAGCATTTCTAGCAAAATATTTGCAACTTGAACAAGGAAAGACTTTGGAACTTTGGACCTTTGGTTAACATTTATCAATATATGATATCATGGTAGTTAAGATCGCGATCTAACTCGTATGATCCTGCGACTTTGCAGATCGTTACAACCTATGCGATCTGAATTGCGATGAAGATTGCTAGTCTACTTAAAATATTTGCGACTTGAACAAGGAAAGACACATGTATGATATACTTCATACAAGTCTTGAAAATTTTGGGGCCCTAAAAAGATGGGGATCCTAGGCCCGTGCCTAAGCCTAGAGATGGCACTTGTCTAGTAGTAGTCTACTTGCAGTCTTGCATACTTTAACGCTCTTAGCTAAGGATAAAATTTCTCAATCAATCAATATATGATGTAATAATTATAATATATAATGTAATGAATTAATGATACAAATAATAGATACAAATAATAGATACAAACAATAGTAATAATAATAGTAATAACAACAACCAAGCTTGATCCCACTAGGTGGGGTCGGCTACATGGATCAAACGAGGCCAATGCGCCCTATCAAGTACCATCGAGATCATTCACGCGAAGGTCCACTTTGACCACTTCATGCCAAATCTTCCTAGGTCTACCTCTTTCTCTAGCCACATGTTTATTCACCAGTTCATCAACCCTTCTCACCAGATGCTCTATGGGTCTTCTTTCTACATGTCCAAACCACCTTAGAGGGGCTTCCACTATCTTCTCTATAATAGGTGACACTCCAATTTCAATTCTCATATCTTCATTCCTTATTTTATCCACATGCGTATGACCACTAATCCACCGAAGCACCTTCATTTCGGCCACACTAACCTTGTATTCATGTGCACCCTTTGCACCCCAACACTGTTCCATACAACATAGCTGGTCTAAGCGCGGTACACTAAAACTTTCCCTTGAATTTTAAGGGTATGTTTTTGTCACATATAAAGCCTAAATCATTCTGCCATTTTGACCAACTTGCTTGAATCCTGTGGTTTAGATCATCTTCTATTTCTCCATTGTCTTGAATGATAAACCAAAGATGCTTCATTGTCTTAAATGATACACCCAAGATACTTCATTCTCTTCACTTGTGGGATACGCCCTCCGTCCATGAGTATTTGTCCAGTATTCTTTTTCCAGTATTTTTCCACTTTCCTTATGTGGAAAAGAATATTAAATGAATGGTCTATTATACCCTTACATCCAAATTTGTTTCAAAGGTCCAAAGTTCTCTCTCACATCATGTGTTCCATATTTTCATTCTCCTTAACCTCTAATCCCCCCTTCGTCTTCGTCTCATCTTTCATCTCTTTTCTTCATCTTCATCACAAATTCTCCTTCCTCTCTCATCGCCAATCTCTGATTTTTCTTCCCCTCCATCTCTCAGTTCTCATCTCCAATTCTTCTTTTTCGTCTCTCTCTCATCTTCAAAGTCAATTGTTGCTGAAAGATGGATGTGTTTTTCAACGGAGAGCTGGACCGGATCGGAGGAGTTGGACTTCTTCTTTGCCGCCTGCAGTGACTAGATGCCTTCGAACAGGATCTCTTCTCAAGATCTAGATCCCCTGCACCTTGATTCTTTAAATTTAAATCTAAAATATCTTTTCTCAATTTTCTTTTCATTTTTTTTAATTTGATGTGGATTGATTGGTGGAGAGCTATAGTTGGAAGCTGGATTGATGGTGGAGGTCGATGGGATGACGATGAATTCAGAGGCTGAGTGGTGAAGCTTTGGGCTAGTATGTCTTCTTATGTGGCTAAACTTGCACTCCATATATTCTATCTTAGTGTGACTAATACGCAAGCCATGCAACTCCAAAGATTGTCTCCAAGAATATAACTTCTCATTTAAAATTTTAAATCCCTTATTGATTTGCCCATAAGGATGATATCATCGACAAAGAGCATGCACCATGGTACGAGTTCTTGGATATGCTTGATAAGCACTTCCAAGACTAGTGTAAAAAGATATGGGCTTAGTGATGACCGTGATGTAATCTAGCACCGATGAGAAATGCCTTGATTACCCCACTTTGGCTTTTCACACTCGTTGTAGCACCATCATACATGTCCTTAACCGCACGAATTTAAGATACCCTTACTCCCTTTTCTCCAACACCTTCCTTCCACAAGACTTCTCTTAGTACCCTGTCATATGCCTTTTGCAAATAAATAAAAGCCATGTGTATATCTTTTTTCTCACTCTGATACCTCTCCATCATTCTCATCACCAAGTATATAGCCTATGTACTTGATCTTTCTGGCAGAAAACCAAATTCGTTCTCTGACACCTAGGTCTCTTGCCTCAACCTTTGTTCTATCCGTCTTTCCCACAACTACATCATGTGACTCATGAGCTTGATCCCTTTGTAGTTTTCACAACTCTAAATATATCACTTATTCTTGTAAACAGGAACCAAAATGTTCTTCATTCATTAGGCATCTTCTTAAATCTTAGAATCTCGTTAAAAAGCTTAGTTAGCCATCCAATGCCCGTTCTTCCTAAAGCTTCCCAAACCTCAATCGGGATGTCTTATGGGCCCACTGCTCTGCTATCATTCATCCATTTTAGGGTCTCCTTAACTTCAAATTCTTGAATTCTTCAGTAATAATTGAAGTTTTGGTCCTCCTCCCTCGTGTGTAGCCGATCGAAGCATGAGACACTCACATGCTCTTCATTAAATAATTCATTGAAGTAGCTCTTCAACTGTTCGTTTATGCTTTCATCAAATACCAACACATCACCATTCTTATCCTCAATGCACCTAACTTGGTCCAAAACTCACATCCTTCTTTCATGGCCCTTTGCAATCTTGTAAATACATCTTTCCCCTTCTCTTGCACATAGGTGTCCCATCACCATGATTCTGTCTTGTGCATTGGTTCCATTAGTTTCTCTAATGGTTTCTTTTGCCACCTTTTAAGAGTATGTGCCATATCACACACCATAACCCTTCTGGACTTCAATATCCATCACAATTTGCTTCTTCTTTTGAACGACGTTGAAAATCCCTTTGCTTATCACCTTTCAATTGCCACCTTGGTGACTTCTCCTTACCTTTTGTTGGATAAAAAAATCCATAACCAGCACTCCATGTTGGGCGGTCAAGCTCTCTCTGGAATAATTTTAGAATTTTTTATTTGACTTCCTTAGCATAAAGAAATCCATTTGAGAGCACTATTATAAGATATAAGATGCTCGTCTAGCTTCTGAATATAAGTGTTTGCAATATGAAGCTAGATGATAAAAGTAAGTCTAAGATGGTTTTACCTTCCGCGTTCGCTACTACAAAGCCATGCCTGCCCTACATGAATTTGTTCATACCCACTCCCATCTTTTCCCATGTGTCCATTTAATTCTCCTCCCAAGAATACCTTATCCCCCAATGGTATGCCTTGCAATACACCTTCCACGTATTCCCAAAACCGTATCTTGTGGTGTTCCTCAAAACTGACTTATGGTGTGTAGGCACTAACCACATGAAGAGCCTTCCTTTCTACCACCAACTTTGACGTAATGATCAGATTTTCTACCCTGTTAACATCAACCACATCCTTCTTCCATTTTTATCCACAATAACACCCACTCCATTTCTTTTCTTTACTTTTCAAGTATGCCGTAGTTTGAAGCCTGAGGTGTCCAACTTCTTAGCCTTCGCTCCCACCCACTTTGTTTCCTGCAAGCACATAATATTAATCCTTCTCTGCATCATAATATCCGCCCACTCTATAGACTTGCCTGTAAGTGTGCCTACGTTCCGAAACCGCAACCTATCTTGACCTTTACTTTTACCTATGTGAACTAGCTTATTTACCCGCGTCTGTTCACGAAACTGTTGTAACCCTTTCTTATAATAATAACTTAAATAAAAACACAGGTGGCTCAAATGCAGAGAGCAGAATTCTTAATTCTCAATTGAAATTTGCAGTGGATAGACGAGGAATCCATCATTTTGCATAAGATTTTAAAACAGGTTAAACTCTATTTTACATAAAAACCGACATAACACAACTCAGTGGCATGCAAATATTTGTCAAATCATTTTATTCAGTGTACTTTGGAATCTAAAATACTGTAATATAAAGGGTGAAAACTAAATCAATTGAAAAAATAAAGACGAAGCTTATATTCTAAATTTAGACAGCATAGCGAACATGGAATAGCAGATTTACTTATAAGTGAAGGGTTGTAGTTTCCGCTTTTTGTTTTGGCATTGACGAAAGCTTCTAAGGAGAGGCCTTTTCCTCCTAACCTCCGAAGATTTTTCTTCATCTTCTTGTTCTTCATCGAATGCGAGCAATCTATTCTCTTCTCCGTGCTTCCGTCACCACTCCCACCCTGTAAGATAGCACGATTCTTCGTCATGCCTGATTCGGCGCGGGCGGCCACTCTGAAAACTCTATTGGATGCCGTAAACCCTTCTACACGGTGAGGACGACGATGGCCCCAGAGTTCCAAGTTCTAGAATCGACGAGTGAAGCCGTGGAGGGATGCACGCCGGACGCTTCAATAATTGGGTCTCGTATTTGGGCTTTTGAAGCAGATTTCCATAAAATTTTAGTTGTCTACAAGCTCTTTTGTTCTACTTTTTTATAATTTTGATTTGATATGATCTAATTGGATATGATTGGACCTGATCTATTCTGATTTGATTGGATCTGATATGATTTAGTCTAATCAAATTAAATCTGATCTGATCTGATTAATTATGATTTGATTTAAAATTCAAATAAAAAATTTGATTTGACATTAAAATGACGTTTTTAAATTGTTATGATAATTCATATTATAATATAATCAATATTTTTTATTTCATGATTATTTTTTAATAAAATAAAATTAGTTAATTCATATAAAAGAATAATCATTCGTATTATAATGTAATAAATTTTTTTAATTTTATGATTATTTTTTTGTGAAATTAGAATATTAATTTAATATTTTAATAATTTTCATCATATATACATTAGAATAAATATTTAATTTATATATACATTAAAAATTAATTAAATTTAGATAATCAATATATCGAAGAGATAGTATTTTTATTAAAATATCTTCCTTATAAAAGATCAAAACTTTAGAAACTCAAATTACATTAGCAATAAAAATATATTTTAATAGTAGAATTAGATTGACATTGTCAATGTATTTTAAAAATAATTTTTCTTACGTTTAATAATTAAGGATTACTTTCTCAATTTTTTATGTAACTTGTTTCTAAATTTTATTCTTTTTCATTTTTAAGAATAATAATAATAATAATAATAATAATAATAATATTATTATTATTATTATTATTGTATTATTATTATTATTATTATTATTATTATTATTCTTCTTCTTCTTCTTCTTGATGAGATCTGATCTGATTTGGTCTGATATGATTGGATCTGATTTGATCTCATTGGATCTGATCTGATCTGATTCGATCTAATTTGATCTGATTCGATTTGATCTCATCTGGTCTTATCTGATCTAGTCTAATTTTAATATTAGTAAGAAAAAATAAGAGAAAATAAGTTGACCGGAACGGGGCCTAAGTCTAACTCTAAATACTACCGTTTTTATTTCAAAGCTTTAATGCTAACCTATAACGCTGATGTCAAATGCGACATTAGTCACTAGTGTTTCACAACAGCCCACTCTAAATCCGTTAGATTGGTCTGAAAATATGAAAAAAATGATATTAATCTTGTATAAAATTCACATATTAAATCCTAATTTTTGTAGAGTACTTATTCTTTAAAATTAGTACTAAACTTTATTTTTAATAAACACTTTTACCACAATTTGAATATTAAAATATAAGTTTTAATAGTCTGATTCCAAAAATAAAATTGATTTTGAATTCGGAACCATTTGGACGAAAACGTGTGTATCGTTTGAAATAAACTGGTAAGATTGAAGTTTAGACTAAAGTCCAAAACTTAATTCTCAAATCTCTTCCCAATCTCGACAGCCCACCTTAGGACACCCTAAAAGTCTCCTTAAAACTCCACTACTCCCACTAGATCTAATGATACAAACCACCTTATATAATAATTCCTCCGTCCATAAATAAACTTTCCACTTTTCTTTTTCGTCCGTCCATAAATAAAGTTTCTGTTTTCTTTTTTGGAAACTTTTTTCTACCAAAAAGACTTAATTATCCACACCCATCCACTCTTTTTCTTTTCTTTTTTCTTTCTTCCTCTCGCCACATCCCACCCATTCTTTCTTCTTTTCTTCTCTTTTTTTTTTTGTTTTTTCCTCTCCCTTCCAATTCACCCACTCTTTGATTTCTCTCTTTTTTCTCTCCTCTTCTTCTTTCTTTCCACTACTACACAAATGGGTTTTCCCACCGCACCATAGACATCGGTTATCTTAATTTTGATCGGTGAAGGTTTAAAATTTTCGTGCCGCATAGTGGGAGCAAGCCTGAATTTTTTTTACCAACGATTATTTAGGAATATGCTTTCTAGAAATTAAAAAAAAGAGTGATTTTTACTCATAGTAATAAAATCCTTGATTCATTACCATTATTCATATCTGAGCACATCTATTTCTCTCTACCGCTGCAAGCCTGCAATCCAGCCCCATAAACCATCTTCTTATCGCCTCACAATTTTCAACCAAATCAGTGAAAAGAAAAGAACAACAAGATGTAGATGGATCCCACAATGAAATCGGTGACCAAAGTAGATATCCTAGGATGTAGGAGAAAACAAGAGGTATGAGGCTATGTCGTGCTATCATTACTCTCAACGTGGTCTCTATAATTGGTATTCCACCCACCAATTAGGATTTTGATTTATTCTGAATTTAGTTTTTTAAGTTCTATACACTTTGAGTTTATGAATTATGAATCTAGGTATCGAGCTTAGGGGCGTAATTTTTTGAGTTTAGGGATTTAAATTATTTAAAATTGATTTGTAGAAAAGCTTTAAAATCTATTGTTGGAATTTGGGTTTCGAATTGGTTTTGATTCCTTTAGGAATTTAGATTCTAAATTGTTTTCACTCTGTATCCTCAAATCTCTTGCATAATTCAACTATTGAATAATTTGCATAGAGTTGAATTTGAAATTTAAACTCGATGGATGATATTTTCAAATCGATATTCTTTTGTTTCCCTTGATTGTGAAGATGTATCTCTTATAGACAGACTTGAAGCCTTGAGGAAGGCTAAAATTATCAAGTCAGTCTCATGATTCAATCCTAGGACCACTTATTAACTCCTACTATTGCTTTATTTTTTTTGTTGTTTTCTTCCTGAGTTCAGTTTTCCTATGATGATTAAACCTAGCTAGGCTTACGGTTCTGGAATTATGTTTATTAAGTTGTTTGGTTGGGTAAGCATCAGAGGTAGTTTTTCATATAAGTGTAATGGATTTTCATGATTATGCTTTTTTAAGAAAAAATCATAATCAAGAACATAAACAATAAACTTATATCAAAAAGGGCTTTGTAAACTTTAAGGTGTATGACTTGCGCTATTTCAAAGTTTAACACCCTATTCCAATTTTTTTTAACACTTACACGGTGCTTTTTAGATGTGGCGGTGTGAAAACTTCATAATCAAGTTATGAGCCAAACTGTGTGGCGGTCCAAAATGCTTAAATTACTTCCTCCTTCTGCGCTTATCCCATCTTTCAGGCTAGCTTATCCCATCTTTCAGGCTAAAAATCACCATGAAATTCATAGATAAAAGTTTATTGTCTAATGTTTTTCTAGTTTTCTCATTTTTTATTTACAAACATGATTTTTTATTTCAATTCTTGATATTTGAGATTAATGTGATTGTATTTTTATTAGTTCTTGTTGTACTAAGTTTTCATAGTTTTTTATGGTTTACATATAGCTAAATTGTCATGGATAAAAGTTTAATAACTATTGTTCGGGCTAGTGCTGATTACATGAAAGGGGTTAAAGGTTTTAAAGAGTTTGCAGAGAAGAATGCTCCCAAAATTGAAGAGAAGTTCTATTGTCCATGTAGATGTTGCATGAATATGTGGACATCAAATATTTCTGATATATTTGATCATCTCATTTCTAATGGGTTTAATGAAGGGTATACACAATGGATATGGCATGGCCTGGGGAAGTACAAGATTCTGCCTGTCATGGGGAAAACACATGGGGAAAACACAGATAATGATGAGGTGGGTGAAGATCGGTTAGGAGAAATGTTTTGTGATGTTGGACAAGAGTTCACTTATCAACCAGAGGAGCTGAAAAAATTGCTAATTGATGCAAAAAAAACCTTTGTGGCCAGGATGCTCAAATTATACACATTTATCCGCAGTATTGAAGTTGCTTAACTTAAAAGCTCGGAGTGGGTGAACTGATAAGAGTTTCACGACCTTTCTTGAGATAATAAAGGATATGCTTCCAGATGGAAATGAAATGCCAAAAAGTACATATGAGGCAAAGAAGATCATGTGCCCTATGGGTATGGAGTATCAAAAGATTCATGTTTGTGTGAATGATTTTTATTGTTTCGAAATGAATATGAAGGGTTACAAGTATGTCCTAAATGTGGGGCTCCACGTTGTAAGAAGAAAGAAACTCTGATGGTAATTTGGTTACGAAATGATCACCAACCAAAGTATTGTGGTATTTGCCAATAATTCCAAGATTTAAGTGTATGTTTGCTAATACAGGAGATGCAGGAAACTTAACATGGCATGCACACCAACGTTGTCGTGATGGCAAGCTTCGACACCTGGCCAATTCACCTCAATGGAAATCCATAGATGATTCTTTTCCTGATTTTGGCAATGAGCCGAGAAATCTTAGGCTTGGGCTCTGCACAGATGGAATTAACCTGCATGGTAACCTGAGTAGCAAACATAGCTCATGGCCTGTCATCTTGGCAATTTACAATCTACCTCCTAGGATGTGCATGAAACGTAAATATATGATGTTGAGTTTGATGATTTCAGGGCCAAAGCAACCAAGTAATGATATAGATGTCTTTTTGGCACCAATGATTGATGACTTGAGTAAAATGTGGAAAGAAGATGTGATGGTGTTTGATGCTTACCATAAAGAGTCCTTTAAGCTCAGGGCCATGCTATTTTGCACAATTAATGATTTCCTAGCTTATGGGAATTTGTCTAGGTATAGTGTTAAAGGACATAAAGCATGTCCTATATGCGAAGATGGTTCATGTTATCACCAAATCGAGCACGGAAGGAAGACAATTTATATGGGTCATCGGAGATTCCTAAATAAACATCACCCTTATCGGAGACATAAGAAAAATTTCAATGGTCTGCAAGAATTTAGTGATGCTCCCAAACCACTAACTGGAGATGAAGTATATGAATGAGTAAAAAATGTAAATGTGACATTGGGGAAGACACAAAAACCAACACATAAGAGCATGTGGAAGAAGAAATCCATATTCTTTGATCTTGCAAATTGGAAAGTTTTATTTGTGCGACATAGTATTGATGTGATGCATGTAGAAAAAAATGTCTGTGTTAGTCTTGTTGGAACTCTTTTTAACATAAAGGGTAAGACCAAAGATGGAGTAAATGCTAGGCTTGAACTTACATATTTAATATTATGCCAAAAGTTTTACTTCCTCTATCCCAAAAAATTGTCTTATTTCAAACGTGTAAAATTAGCTCTATTTTAAAATGATTTTACTTACAAATTGGTATAGAAAAAAGTACAACTTATATATTTAAAAATTATATATAAAAGTTAAAAAATAAGTGGTGACAAGAATATTTTATTTTACATATGAGAAATGTTAATAAACAAAAGTTATCGGGAGACCAAATTGTGAAAATACAATCTCTTTTGGGGGTTTATAAAAATTACAACATACGTTACTCCCCTGCTCAATTGCCCTATTACAACATAGATTTTGATGGGTGTATTCCACCCACGACCGGTCAAAGGAAGAGACCAATTAGTTGACCGGTCAATCTCGAAAGTTTTGGAAGGGAGACTTGAATCGTCAGCAAAACGATGTATCATCGGCCAAAAGATGACCGGTATACTTCACAAAAAAGTATGCCGGTCAAACTACGTTATCGTCCTATTTATTCCAGACTTCGATGAATTCATCCCTCGGAGATTACCCGGTGTAGTGTCTGGGGTTGGAAAGTGTCGGCAGAAGAGAATCTACGAGGGCTTGGCGTGTAGCGACCCATGTCAGTAGAGGACAACTGGAGATGCTGAAGAATCCATCCAAGGCACTACTCGACAGAGGGAATAATCCCCCTCACAAGGCGACAAGGCAGCTCAAGGACGAAACCAGTCATCTCGCACCACATCAGCATCGAGCCCCCACGTGGGCGCACGTGGTCCTGTCCCCCTAGCCTAGTATAAATACTCATGTAAACCTCAGAAAGGGGGATCCGAATTCATTCCCTCTAAACTCCCTTGTAAAAGCACCTGTGCATTCTCCGTTATAATATAAATTGGGCTACAGGTGTTC